CTCGTGTCGAATAAACTTTCGGGGTTCGCACGGGCAATTCAACGGAAAGTTCTGGAACATGCGCTTTGTTTACACCCGCAAGGGCGACGGGGTAACAAAGGACATACCAGTGAAATTCAGTGTCGAAATCAGGAGCGTTCGTGAGTGTCGAGTGTCGCTGAAGCCCGTCAACGTTTGGCCCATGTGCGTCACGCAATAAGCGACTCACCGAACGTTCGGCAGTCAGTAACTCATCGGCCACCAGTAGCGTCTCAACAGCCGATAACTTACAATATCAACAACTTAGCGCAGATTATCACCATGGCAAACGACGCTCAGGTCAACGACCCTAACGAGGAAACTCAACAACAAGAGATCAACGTTGAATAAATTGAGCAAGTCACACTAGATAAGGGACTGTCAGCAATAAATGAGGCAGTTCAACATAAGCCGATCACCACTGAGGAAGAATATAACAATCGAAATGTTCGTCACATCAACGCAGCCATTCACCATTAGATCATCAGCGAACCAAGAATTATCAACATTTATCGAGGCTTACGCGAGAGGAGTCAACTCTGGCGCTAATTTCAACAGAAGTACATCACCATCAACAGGGAGGGAAATCCAGGGACTACAGGATTGAGAGTTAAGTATCATCTTCCATTTATTATTTGTGTACGTCCACGTGAAAAGGGCCCACTTTGTCGCATCTAGTTTCCGAGATATTCACGTTTTTCTCTTCACATCTCCCATTTAAACCAATGTTAAATTGTTTTTTTGATCGTCTATACTGGCGTCAGTTTTCATTCTATCGGATTGATTTTTGGCTCAAAATGTGAAAAATCTGATCAAGATTATCGAAACATACATAACTCCAATACCGTCAAAGTGGGCCCTTTTCATGTGGACGCCCACATTTATTGGCAAGTGATACGTCTCTCACCTTATGTTCCTCCCCGTAGCAATCGACAACAATCAGCTCGGCGGCAACTGGGGGAATTTACGCCTCTGTCAGTCGACAAAGAGCTTACCAGAAGGAAGAACATCACCAAGAGGAGGTTCAAGTTTGTAATGATTTTTCCGTAGCCTCAACAAATACGCAATAAACCCTAACCCAAAATTCTCGATTATCCTAACACGGCTAAATCATTACCTTCGGTCTCGCGATCAACCAAACCTGACACTGCAAAAACTCAACAACAAAACAGAACTCCAGGAACGGTCAGCAGCTCATCCAACCTTGCTTCGTGTATTTAGGGCGCCAGCCGATTTTTAGCAACGCGGAATCGACGAACCGCAACCCATTGCCTTAACTAAATACTAACCATCCCCGAAATTCGAAAAGAGACACAACAAAACCCAGAAGCTAAAACTCAGGGATGGTAATCACGAGAGTACGGGATTTATTCGGCTGCTCAGTGTGCGGGTCGTGGAGAGAGGGGTGGATTCGTGGACAGGAAAACCAATAAACAAAATCAACCCTTAATGAAGAGTTCAAAATCCAATACCTTAATTCTAGATAGATCGGGGTCAGGTAAAATCCAATAAAATAAAAAAAATAAGTATACTGACATGTTCCGCTATTGCTAATATTTTACACCATTTTCAATTTTGTAATTACAAATTTCATACAATTTTGACTCGACATAATTTCAAATAGGGGACGAATAATCCCACGGACTCGACTACTAATAAAATAATTTTATTATGGAAAAAGGAATGATCCCAAATAAACGTTAGTAGAGAGATAGGCAAAAGTATTATCCATGCGGTGCGCATGAATCTGAGAGAGAGAGAGGACGCATGGAGGTAGCGGGAGAGAGAGAGAGAGCGAACAAGGTAGCTACGCGAATGGGAGAGGGAGCTATCGAAAATGTACGAAATTTTCCCGCATTTCTCTTAATGATTCGCATTTTCTATTACGGAGGGCCTTTTTCATTTATTTTCAGCCGTTTGGCCGTCCCTAAGATGTAATTAATTGGTTACCTCCCCTGAAAATGATCCAGAAAGAGAGCAAGGGAACTTGGATGCTTGCCACGTGGCTATCCCACCGGAAGGGTGGGTTTCAAAACGGAAATGGAGGTTTGCTCCATTGAAATCGGTCGATTTTGGTGTCCAACGACTCAGAACCGGGTAGGGAGCTAATTAGTTAATATTGGAGAACAGAAATTGAGTTCATTTGTTGTGGATTCCAACCGTAAAATTTTAAGGTTACAGTTAAGGTAGCGTCCCCATGCCCAACCGGAATTCCACAATTAACGAAGATTAAAGATAGCATAAAACGCGAAGAAGTCGCACAAAAGGTATTTCACGCAGTCTGATTTTTCTCCTAAAACCCGTAGGAGAGGACGACAATGCGGAAAAATAGGTAGCAAGTAACAATTTAGCGAAAATAGCGAATCTAGAGAGCAAGCAGACAGGTAGCCAGAGAGCAGATAGCACGTGGCATCGACCGCCGTAGCAAGACACCTGAAATCACTAATTTTCATCATAATCACAAATTCAGGTAGCATGATTAACACTTAGGTAAATCCAGGTAGCTTCCAGGGAGCATTTGGGTTCGTTTGAAGGGTTTTCTACCCTTCAAACCATGAGTATCGGTGTTGGCGTCATTCCGAGAGGTAGCGACGCCATCCCACGCGGTCCACTTTCTTTTCCGGAAAAACGCACTAATCCACTTTTTAAATAGCTCTAAATCAGTACACGAGTACTTACCATCGTCTGGAGCGTTGATTTCGACTGAACTTAGGTCACGGGGCCTCGATAATTACCTCGAAAAAGAGCTCGTTCAGGGAGTTGCTCGACTTGTACCTCACTTTGCTTGTCCGGGTGGATACCGTAATGGCGACTCTCGCGTGTGTCCGCTCGGGCCTGCTGCGTAATGGTGGGGAGTCTGGGGAAGACTAGCCCCGTACGGTGCTGACTCGAGTGTTGGGGGCGCGAACTATCGATTCCCGGGGTAATTGTGCGCGAAATTTTTAAAGATTTAAATTTGCATTTTCTTATAATTGATTTTAATTATGTTAACTGAACAAAACTTGAACTCAACATGAACTGAGATGGCTAAGCGGGTCTTCACTCCATCTACGACCGGAATAAGGTAGCTTATCTACAGAGGGCACTCTCCGGAGAGGAATTAGGGCTTTACCAACGAAAATTCAGACGCAACCGCAACTTAACTAGTTTAAAAACCCAATAGCGATCCGCTTCGACGACTGGGTGATCGTCTCCACGGCCTTCCAACTGAAAGCCCTAACACTCTCGCTCAGGGAGCGCAAGCATTTCAACTCGACCTATGTGCTCACTCTATCGACAAACCGAAAAGGGTTACAGGAAACACTGGGTAGCACATTATCTTGGCCAAATATTCCACGATGAGATCCTGATTCCTAACCGAATTTACGTAGGAAAATCTCAAAATTACTAAACTTTAACTCAAGCAAAACTGACTCAAAAAAAAAGAAATATCTGCAAAATACCTGATTTATCTAATGAAGTTATTTAATGAATATTAGTCTAAAAATTTCGGGAATCGATTCACGCGATAGGTAACCCATTTCAGTAGGTCCCCGAACTTAAGGTAGCTCTGAAGTAGAGTTAAGGTAGCAGGTAGTTCTAATTTTCCGTATAGATTTTTATCGCGAAGAAAAGGTAACGGTTTATAAATTTTTACTTCCTCTCTCTCTCTCTCTCTCTCTCTCTCTCTCTCTCTCTCATTTACTTTATAAATACCCTGGAGTGATACAGGTGACGAAAGGGCCGGGAATTTCGTCACAGCCCCCCGCACCTTGACTCTGCCACGCCGGTCTTGTCCTCTGCTGTGGTTGGCTTCGTAGCGTTCAGATGTCGTATTGTCCTCTGAGAGTTTCTGGGGGTCCATTTCTGTTTCCGCAGAGCTTCCAGGTCCAGGTTGTCTCTGGGGCTGAAAAGTGTCGAACCCACGCCCACAAGAGTCTTTTCCCATAATAAAGAGGACACGAGGAGTACACATCTCAAGTTCACAGTAGTATTTATTCGCGTTATCACGGAGGAAATTCAGGAAGTAAGTAATGTCAGATAACGTCGACACGCGGATTCGAGAAAAATGTAACTTAAGGCGCCATTTATGACTGTCGCTACGGTTCGGCTCGAATGAATAATAGAAAAGGAAGAAGTGAACGAAAACCCACGGTTTGCGGAAGAGAAAAAAAAAAAAAGGAAAAGGAAACGTAACTAGGCTCATCTTGGTCAACATGAACTTGACAATGGGAAGCTATTCGTGAGAACAAAAAAAAATAATAATAACGAGGCCAAATCCGGGTTTTCTGATCAACGAAAACAACTGCGGCTATCGTCGGGTTCTTCTCCATTTTCCCAACAAAAAAAACAAAATCAAATGAAAACAAAGAAAGAATGAACAACAAAAGAAAAAAACTTAACCAAGGGAATCAATTAACCCCAAAAAAAATACTGTTCGTGGGACTTTTTGTCCGCTTAACGGGTCCGGCCCGCCTGTCAGCCCTGTTCTCGACTAGTATGAAAGTAGCTTTTAGGTAGCCAGTAGATAGCCCTGATAAGGTAATTTAGGTAGCTGGACGGTCTTACGGAGTGGGCCGGTCCTGCCTTAACCTACCTACCAGTAGCCAGGTGGTGGTGGTTCAGGTCCTCTAGGCGAGTAGTCGCGATCGTAATCCCGACGATCGTAGTGATTGCCTGGAGGTGGGTGCCTGGGTCCCTCTTCACGGTACTCACCACCATGTCCTCTCGGTGGGTAGGCTTGGCCCCCCGATCACTGTCGTCCCTCATCGATCTCGGATACTCCCATGGCTCGGTCTCGTACCGAGGGTCCGGCAATCCTCCGCGGCCTCAAGGTGGTTCGTCTCTGTTCCTTTCAGAGTCCTCGGGTGATCTACCCCAACCTCGGCCCCTGGCCAAAGGTGGGTAGTCCTCTGAGCGAGGTTCCTGGTTCTCGGTCCGGCTGGAAGCGATGGTATTGGATGGGCGTTCGGCGAGGGCGCTCGTCGAATTCGTCATAACCTCTAGTGAGGTGTCGAGGATTCTTGGCGCTGGTCATACGAAGGGGTGTAGTAATCCCAACTTTCTTCCCGCCTGGGTGGTGGCGATGGTGGAGGTCCTCCTCTCCCAGTTCTAGAGGTTTTGGCCGGCCTTGGAGGTTTAGCGGCCGGAGGATTTTTACGACGCCTGCCCCGATTCTTGGCTGGTGGGGTTGCTGCATCGGTGTCCTGTCGAGGGGCTTGAGCCTGGAGCTCGTGTCGAGGGACATTTCGACCGAAAGATGGCACATAGGGACCTGCGGCTCTCCATTTATCGCCACAATGAGGAGAGGTCTTCGAGGTAGCTCCTTTGAGGCCGCAGCTAAAGCACACCGTGATGCGTCTCTCCGGACACTGTTGAAGGCGATGATTGGGGGAGTCGCAGTTATAGCAGCAAGGCTCGAAATCCCAATCGGTCCTGATGGGTAGATTATCTTGGCGAACCGGCATTGGTCTCACCTCCTCGGTGGGTAGTGCTGAATCCCCATGATTCTCCTCCTCTGTAGCCCACCATGGGAGAGGGTCCTCAGCGGGATTCTCGACTTCTTCCGGGTCATTTTCAATGATGATGACCCCCGGTTCGCGCCTGGGAGTGCTGCTGGCGGATGTGCAAGTTTTGGGAATGGCTCCCTTTGAAGGGGGTGTTGAGGAGGTCTCAGTGGCCGGAGTTGTCCTTTGGGATACTGAATCCGCCTGAATCACTTCCTGGGGACGTTCACGTGCTGGTGCAGAGGCCATCGGAGTAATGGGTTGACTATTCCTCATCCCGGCCACTGCAATTTCGGTCGGAGGTGTTGTCCCTTGTAGTCGAGTGAGCCTGACTTGCGCCTGTACCCGCTCGAATGCTCCCGAAGTTTGAGTGGCTGGGGCTGCAGTACGGGATCTGGTTCTAGTCGAGGGTGGTTGTAGTTCCTCGACTTGTTCTCTCACCAATTTCGGATAACTCCTAGAAGGTCGAACTGCACTGATGGGCCGAAGTCGTGGTGTCATTGGGGCCAGGAGCTTCTGAGCCCTCTTGGCGCCTGAGACCGGGGTTGGAATTTTGGGCAGTGACTCCAGTGAGGTGCCAAGCTTCTGATCCTCTTCGGAGAGGTCTACTTGCAGGACATCCGACTCTGTTCCAGATGACGCTGCTCGAGGGGGAGTTTTCCGGATCGCTGCCAGCATCAGATCGCTCAGTTTCTCCAATGGAATGGAAACTGGAAGTGTGAAGGTAGGTGGAGCTCTCACAATCTCTACTAGGCACGCCCTAGAGTCAACCACTTTAGGGAGCGATTTCAGTTTCGGACCCTCGGGTGTCGTAGTCCGAGGGTCATTGGTGATGACTCGTTGGTTGGGAGGCAGAGTGTTGTTCTCTTCCTTGTCGTCCATCAAGGCACTGGCGTCACTGGAGGCCCGGCTCCGACCACTGAGCGGAGAGTAGGTGCTGCTTAGATTATCGGCGGGTGACCCTCGAGCGAGTGAGAGCTTGGCCGATGTTCGCAAAATGGCCATGAGAAGGTCGTGCTTGGTTCCAGGGCGTTCTCGATCGAGAGCGTCCAGCTGGGCCTGGAACGGGGACAATTTCGCCCTAACGAGGTCCATCGGTCCTGGTGACGGCGGATTTTCTGAGTTCGGAGGGGTCTTCTCGGCATCCTGGGGCTGAGAATCCCCGTCCTTCCCTGTTGGTGTGGCGACAGTGGGAGGGGAGACCTCCATTGCTATTTCTAAGGGAGCGGAAGTAGTTGCGGAAGGTGTTGGGGCTATAGTTAGCGGCGTTGGTCTCGAAGGGTCTCTCTTTGATGTTAGTTCCGTGACGTCCATCGCGACGTCAGAACTCTGCGACGCTGTGGTGGCCATCGTTCCCCGAGGGTTCTGGGGTGGTTTATCTTCCTAAAAGTTCACGGTGGCGTTAGAGAGAGTTTTAAACGTGGCTTTGGAAAGCATGAGGGCAAAAGCAACACCAAAATGCATCGGTAGCGGGTGGGAAGGTAGCGTTGAAGCGAAAGTTCATTGAAGGAAACAGCGGGTATATCTAGTAAGCCCAAGAAATGGTAAAGAGGTGGTATAACCCGTCAGGCTTACAGGTGAAGTAGTTTAGGTAGCGCCTTGCCTAAGAACACGACAGATTTACGTAGGGGTAGATTAGAGGTTCAGGCTTACAGCTAGAGTAAGTTAGGTAGCTCCATGTCGATGAGGCATGTAGGGTTTATCTGAAGAGAGCATGGATATTCGGGCTTACAGGCAGAGTAAGTTAGGTAGCGCCATGCCGCTGGTTCTTATTCTTCTTCTTGGGGAAGTCTATATCGCTTGAGGTCTTGAATCGAGGTTTCCCCTTTGAATTTCCCTATCATATCCGAGAGCTCATAACGAGTGCGCGAAATTTTCTTAGAGATAACGAATGGTCCTTCGAAGGGTAGCGCTAATGATGCAGAGAACTGTTTCGAGGCGTTAGATAGTGGGTGCGATTTTCGTAAGACTACATCTCCGACTTCAAATTCTTGATCTCGGCGACGTAGATTGTAATAGTGAGCTTGACGATTCTGAGCCTCTGTCAACGCATGAGTGAAAACTCGTCGCAATGAATCTAATCGCGACATACGTTGAAGCCATTCCCCGGGATTCCGCAGAACGATCTCAACTTCACCTTCAATTTCGCGGCGCAGAGAGATAGCTGCAGTCGGCTCTCGACCAAAGTTAGCAAAAGCAGGAGTGCTTTGTAGGGAGCTGTGGAGAGCAGTGTTGTATGCGAACCTAAACTCGTGTAAGTGAGCTTCCCACTGCTTTTGATTTTCCCCAGTGAACGCTCGCAGCATCATTTTGATGACTCTATTGACGCGCTCGACGGGATTCGCTTGCGGATGGTACGCTGGAGTTGTCTTGTGCTCCATTCTGGTCATTTCCGCTAACGCCCGACTGTCTCGGTTGACAAATCCGGTACCATTGTCAGTGAGCAATACCCGGGGAGTCTCCCAGCGAGAGATAACTTGGTGTTCAATCACCTCGCGAATCTTTTTACCAGTGACCGAACGCAAGGGAACAACTTCAATTCACTTGGTAAATAGATCCTGGATTACGAGAATGTAGCTGAAACCGGACTTGCTAGGGGTTATTGTCCCCATGATATCGGCGGCGATCGTGGTCCAAGGTTCTTCAATGACCCTTCGACCCAGCAGTCCTGCCGGAGTGGTTTGTTCGACTTTACATCTTTGACAGGTAGCGCAGTGACTGACAAAGGTAGTGATGTCATTTAGCATTGATGGCCAGTGATATTTAAGAGAAACCCGTCGATAGGTTTTATCGATACCCAGGTGACCAGATTGAGGTAGCTCATGAGCTTCTCTCATCGCCTGTTTCCGCAGCTCGTTAGGTAGCACAAGTTTCCACGCATCTAAATCGTCTAACTCGGTACTTATGAAATGATTCGGACGGTGGATATACAGTCGATCGTCAGCAATTTTATAATCAGGGAACTTATAGAGAGCATGTTGAACATCTCGGTATCGACGTTTATACCACTTATCTTTTGTTTCCTTAAAGGTAGCTAAAAGTGCACGAAAGGTAGCAAGAGTCTCCTCTTCAGGGTTGACTAGTCCCTCTGGAGCTCGAGATAGCGCATCAGGGACGTGATGCAGCGCACCCTTACGATGAACGATGGTATAGTCGTACTCCATGAGTCCTAAGCCCATCTAGCGAGTCTACCCGTCGGCTTCTTCAAGTTATTTAACCAACGTAGGGAGCTATGGTCCGTGATGACGGTGAGGGTATAACCTTCAAGGTAGCAACGGAACTTTTTGATTGCCCATATGACCGCAANTGATGCAGCGCGCCCTTACGATGAACGATGGTATAGTCGTACTCCATGAGTCCTAAAGCCCATCTAGCGAGTCTTCCCGTCGGGTTCTTCAAGTTATTTAACCAACGTAGGGAGCTATGGTCCGTGATGACGGTGAGGGTATAACCTTCAAGGTAGCAACGGAACTTTTTGATTGCCCATATGACCGCAAGGCATTCTTGTTCGGTTACGGTATAGTTTCGTTCGGCGTCGGTTAGGGAGCGACTCGCGTAAGCTATGACGCGTTCCTCTCCATCTATTTCTTGAGTGAGCACGGCTCCAAGACCTACACCACTAGCATCAGTCTGAAGGACAAACGGCTTGTCGAAATCTGGGCATGCTAGTGTTGGAGCAGAAGTTAAGTGAGCTTTCAAGGTAGCAAAGGCAAGTTCCTGATCGCTAGACCATTCCCATGTCTGATCATTTTTCAATAATTTGGTTAACGGTTGAACGGAGGTAGCGAAGTTAGGTATGAATCGCCTATACCAGGAAGCCATGGCAAGAAATCTACGTAGCTGTTTCAAGTTCTTTGGCGCGGGATCATTCAGCACCGGATCGACTTTTTCGGGATCGATTTGTAACCCGGCACTATTCACAAGGAAACCAAGGTAGCGTACTTGAGAGCGACAGAAATGACTTTTCTCGCGATTCACGACTAGGTTAGCTTCTTTCAATTTCTGGAGGACCTTCTCAAGCCAGACGAGGTGCTCCTCAAAGGTACGAGTAACGATAATTATGTCATCGAGGTATACGAATACATTCGGATACATCGAAATCCCGATAATTTGATCGATTAGTCGTTGGAAGGTAGCTGGAGCGTTAGTGAGTCCGAAAGGCATACGCTTGAACTGAAATAGTCCTCGTCCGGGGACTACGAAAGCGGTTATTTCGCGAGATGAGGGAGCTAAAGGTATCTGAAAATATGCCTGGCTTAAATCTAAGGTAGTTATGTAGTGAGCTTGTCGCAATTGGTCCAGTATGCCAGACATATTTGGAATGGGATAAGCATCGCGCTTGGTTACCACGTTAACCTTGCGGAAATCGATACAAAAACGATATTTCGTTTTCGTGATAAGGTCTCTGAGCGATCGGCTGACTGTCACCAACGTCAATGTGGTGCGACGTAAAAGAGGTAACCCCGAATGCGCCTGTTGGAGGCGGCAGAATGTTTTGATCGAGAACATCTTGAAGACGCGCGGTTTCGTCGTTTTCTAACGTACGGAGCCCGCAACACATGATTACACGATTGGCACTCTCGACCGGTGTGAAAGGGAACCGTTCCTCTTGTTTATCCCGATAGAACCAGGCTTGATCGAAAAAATCAATAACAATTCGCGCGGCGAGCAGGAAATCTAGGCCTAATATGAAGTCTTCCGCTAGCTTTGGAAAGAGGTACTCTGAGGCAGTGATCGTGCGTCCCCCGAGTTTTCCATCGAATTTTGTTATGGAATCTACATGTTCCACTTGACTCGCGGCGCAGATAATACGTTTTGGAGGTACAAGTAACGAAGGTAGCTTAGCCTGATTAAATAGCTTGATGCCGGCTGGGCCAGCGAAGGTCCGTGAAGGAGCGGAATCTACTAAAGCATGGATTGTTTTTCCACAGATTTCGATCTCAACACGGAAAGATAGCGGCTTATTGTCTGAGGTAGCGTTAACGAGAATGTCTTCGTTAGGTAACTCTTCTGGGGCAGTCAAATCTTTGGGATTCGTTCCCGTCTGAGTGAGTTCAACTGGTTTAGGTAGTGTTTGTTCCAGGTAGCGTTCACTGAAAGGTAGTCGACTTTCGATGGCGCATAATCCGCAACATGAGGGAGCTGGATGAGGTAACTTGACTGGTGCCGGGGGTTTCACCGGAAAAGACGTCTGTACCGGCGAATGACGTCTCACTGAGCGTTTCCCGACTGTTCTCCCTGATTGTACCGACCAGATGTACAAGAGGGGCATGTCGTCGAGGAAACTCCCTTCTTGCCACATCGGTAGCAGAAGTACTTACGAGGGCCGGTACAGTTTCGCCATCTGTGCCCCACTTTATCGCAATTCCAGCAAAAGACTTCACCCATCAGAAGTCCGGCTAGAGGGTCTGTGAGACCGTTCTCAACCTCTGCTTCATACCCTACTTCTTCAGCTTGATAAACCTGGGTAGGTTGAGGTAGTTGGGGAGGGGATGGACCCGTTCTATCGATTTGAGTGGGTCCTGAGTGTCCAGCGAGGTGAGGTAGCTGTTGTGTAGATAGTTGTTGATAAGACAATTGCTGAGAAGGTAGCTGATGAGTAGGTGGTTGTTGGCGCGGCAGCGGCTGGGGAGGTAACTGTTGAGCCGGTAGCTGTTGATAAGACAACTGCTGAGAAGGTAACTGTTGCAAAGGTAACTGTTGATGGGGCCACGATTGAGAAGGTAGCTGACGTGATGGTAACGGTTGAGAAGCTGCTGATTGGGGAGATATATGCTGAGAAGGTAGCGACTTTCGAGTGAAAGTCCTGGAAGGGACTTGACGAGAAGATAGCTGGGGATTACGCCCGAATATCTTACGTCGTGATTCCATGGCTACATCCAGGATTTCATCCTCCTCGTAACCAACGTCATCTTGTTCGGAGTAGGGAGCTTCATCACTGGGTACTTCACCCAACGCATAGGTTTTAAATGTTTTATTGGGGTTCCATCCACGGCGCGTGAATAGCTTGGAGGTAGCTTGGGCGGGACGGTACGCAAAACTAGGACAGAGTGATTCCTCTGGCCGTGGAGGTGGTCTACGCTGACCTTCACTTTCCAGAATCTTTTCATACATGGTAGCTTTGCGTTCTAGTTGTTCTACCGTTTCAGTGAGCTCAGGTATTTGGGCCTTGTACTTGAACAATAAATTCCAGTGAGCATAGCGGACTCGTTCGGCCTCAGGCCACGGAGGTCTGGTCCTTTGGAACAGGCCTTTCATGCATGCGAAATAGTCCCTGACTCTCTCGTACTCCCCATGGTACGAGCAGTGATCTCATTACGTAGGGCGATCTGATATTCGGCATCCGCGAA